CACCCTCGCACTGACGACCAACTCGCCACTTCCCTTTCGAGTTCCACTCGAGCAATGGCTTCTCTAGTGATGTCACTTGATGGTTTCCTAAGAGTATGGCCAATCCATCTCCATTTCTTCCTGTCCATTTGTTTCACAATCGGTTCCTGGTTGATTCGCTCCCAGAGATCCCTCCCTGTTGCTGATCTTTTCTGGCCGGTCATCTGATCGTGAGCGAAGTATTGAGCGAAGACAGCTGTTGACGAAGGTCTTTAGTTTTTTTGAAGTGCTCTTCATGACAAGCCAAGTCTCTGATCCGTATAGTAGCACTGACTTCACATTGGAGTTGAAAATCTGGATCTTCTTTTTGATGCTGAGCAGTGCTGTTGACCTCCACACAGACTTGAGAGTAGTGAAGGCTTGTCTTGCTTTTCCGATTCTTGCTTTGATATCCTCATCAGTTCCGCCTGTAGTTGAAACGATGCTTCCCAGTTGGGTGGGTAGGTAAAGGAGGTTGTTTCTTTCAGGTTCCTTCCATTTATGCTGATTGTTGTCAGCTGTTTTTGTTGCTGTTGGTGGTGTTGGCCAGGAATCTGCACCACCACCTCTGTTTTCTCTATGTTCACCTGAAGACCTATCTTCTCTGGATGCTTCTTCTGCCAACTTGTTGCTTTTCACTTGTATGTCTTCCAGTTTGTGGGAAATCAGACATATATCATCGACGAAGTCCAGATCCTCCAAGAAACTTTATAAACTGTAGTTTTTCACTATCCAAATCGAGTCTTAGCTCACCGTTATTGAGGGCTAATAATGTAGTTAAAAGTAGTCTAACGTTTTTCCCAACATGTAAACTCGACCTAGGTTGAAGATCATATCAGTGTACTAAATTAGCATAGATAATCAGTTTAGAAATAAAGAAGAAAGTATTACTAAGCACTATAGAGGTATAGTACTCATCCTTTACAATTGGAGGAGGATAAGATGTAAATACTCCCAAAATATGCTTGTACCCTGACAGGCAGCAGGATATTCATTGAAAGTGCAGCCGATATAGATTTATAGACTTGAAGCGAGCTCTTCTGATCTGCAGTGAGTTTTTATCAGTAGTCGATCTACCTAATTTCTTGTTACTTCCCACAAAAGTGAATAATTTGATCCACTCGGTTATTTGAACTGCGTTTTTAAAACTGCCATCCTTTGTTTGTCTTTTTGGCACTATATTTTCCATGGCAGTTTGCTTATTAGGTATACCACTCAGTAGAACTAATATATCCTGAAAAACGTTTCGAACATATTTTACTGTTGACTCAGTAAACAATACTGTTACACTGAGCAATATTTATATAGTGGGCTAAATAACGTGAAATTTGTATGACACTAGACTAGATGAAAAACGCCAATCTCGCTGGACTTCGCATACTGTCAACACCTCTACCTAAAAAGACGACATGGATTGTGTAACAAGAATTTTGCTGAAAATAAACCAAAGTCGGAAGTAGGCAGAAGTGTTTTCATCAGGACAGAGATGACAAATGACGCTACTGACTACAGAAAACCACTGATCATCAGTGAATTTTATTGTGGACTACTCACTATGACGACTTCAGAACGCTTTCTTCAGTGTTACTTATGTTCTTGTCTCGCTGCTGATAACCGGGCATTATCCAGAAACAATCACTATGTGTCAGTTTTCAAATTGCATTGTGGCGAAACCAGTACAACTAACTTATACACCACAAGTAAATTAAAGGCTTTTCCACTTTGTCTAGAGAATCAAAAAACAATTAATTACTCGGAGATTGCAGATTACGTGTTGGACACCTTTATACCACTGTAATTTTTACAAGCGGAATATCTCTCTTTAAAGTACTGGTTATAAATATTCTGAATAGCTTCTGATTTCTATTTATCAGTTACAATAAGTAGTTGTCCGCTTACAGTACCGAAATACTTCTGACCAAGAGGCTTACTCAGATTCATATTTAAAAGTGCCTTCTGAAATCATACCTATTGGATGCAGTCTGAAAGGCACCTTAAAATTATTTGCTTTATACGAATTTCTGTACCTGGTGTATGCTTAAAAAAATAAAAAATAATGAATAGTGGTGAAATAAGCATTTTTATTATAACCAAATAATTTATGTTTTACTAGAGTACTTGATGTACAAGGTACAAGAATTTCATACTTTTGTTACAGACTTTAACATCAACTCTAAGGAAATGATCTAGCCCATGTCTTATGTTACAATATGTTCAAAATATTTAGTTTAGAACAAAGTTCAGCTATAAAATGTACAGGAGTTATTAGATGGAATGTATGATTAGTAGTAAATAAAGTGTTTCTGAACATTATAAAAGGTGTAACACAACACTAGGAAAGCTACTGTGACGCCTATATTGTCTTCGACTAGGTTTTCTAATCATTATTTATGTTAGAAGACGACGTTACAAGCAATTATAAGAATATAGAGTCAGTAGATATCCGGCTTGACGAGTGAAACATCAATCAGACTACACATTTTTTCCTGTTTTAACTACGTGAACATAGTATTAGAGCTAAAAAAAATATGGACCTATAGTTTTCTGTTCTTATAATTCACCTGGATCTTACAAAAACCACAAGAATGTACAGTTTATCGGAGCTCAAAGTTTGTTTATTGTAGTGAAATCAGGAAGACCTCGAGAATTAATCATTACTACGAAGAGAACGCAGAACACGCACAAGTCAGTAGGACTCCAGTGCTAGATACCAACAGTCATTTAACGTCGAGTTGATCTCCAAGCACCACCTAAGGGTTCATACAGGAATCAAACACCAAGCAGTTCTGTATACTGAAATCAAACGATGGTAAATTCAGAAGTCTCTATAATTGATAACTATCACAATGTTTATTTGGTGCTCTATGGGTGAAATTACAGACGACCAAGTCAGAAGAAACTAGGGTATGATATCATCGATCGCTACAACAAAATGAATATGCTCAAATGCCAACAAACAAACACATGAAGTGAAAAATCTCATTACTCTAAGATATGAATCCCGTGATGATGTAAGACAGATTACAAAGAATCCCAATGTTGGTATTGAGTCGTATTCTTGAACATATATATACCAAAATATCATCTCACGGGAAAAGTGAATATCGACAGAATGATAGTTCGCCATTAGTGAAATCACCGATACATAGTTGATACAATAAAAAATAGTACCATGATTGACTACATCATTGAAAGGAACGTAAGCATAATTATGCCTAATCCAAGGCTTTGCATTTCAACAACACGAAGTACTCAGCCTATGGATAACTTACCAGTTAAATTTGTCTATTGTTATTCTCTAAGTCAGCATGACCTCATATCCATTAAGCAAGAAATGCAAACAAATGCTTAGAGAACAAAACGCATAATTTTGTTTATCGATTGTCACAATTTGAATGATCTGTATCCCGACAATGTCGGTTCCTAAATTACTCACAATTAGTGTAAAAAAAGAGAGACTAATTTCGTTAACCAGTGATAACAAAATTACTGAGTTTTCAGTTTCTCATTTCAACATGGAGGTGAATTTCAACTTTATTTTCTTTATACTACTTAGAATAGCATTACAAACATAAAAATACTGAGTCTGAGCAGACTTATAAGGAGGGTTGTGTGCAACAATATGTACGACAGTTAACGACTAATTTTAGTAATACTGCTCAAAGTCCAGACGGTGCTATGAATAAAATTTGAATTTAGAGCAAGGGATTTCCAGCTTGATCACTCGCTTCTACCTTGAAATGATGTTCATTGCTTGCATAGAGCAATGACCTGAATTTTGTTAGGTGGAATAAATGTTTTCGCGAATCTTAAAATGCTACAAATATTATCCGGGTAGCTGTTTGGCTAAAATCAATTACCAATACAGGCTAGATTACTTACGGCATAGAGATGGCGTTGAAGTAAAGTTTTACTGCCAGCTGACAGGATAGTAAGAGCAGCAATAAATATTTCAATCGGACAGTCAGTAGGTAAGCTACGCAACATTCCTAATCTTGAGAGCAGAGGTTAGAAAGGGTAGACATCAAAAGTTACCCATCCCGACTTATCCAACAAGTTACAGACTTTTATCAACAGCTGCCTTCGCTAGCTCGATACAGAAGATCAAATGGCCGGCCGGCCAGACAGAATTAACAACAAGAAACTCTGTCAACGAACAAACCAAGAGGCGATTGCTCAACAAATATATAGGAGAAAGTGGAGATAGATTGGCGTACATTGGGGAGGCCGTCGAATGACATCGAGCTCAGTAGGAGCCATCGCTCGGGTGGATTCCGAATGGCAAGCGACGAGTGGGGCATCCTGGGGTGACATGGAGAAGTTCGTGCGAGTAGGAGATGAGATATTATGGACAATCGTGGGCCCAGTTGAAGAGGACAGTGGAAAATAGAGCAAAGTGGAAATGTATTGTTGAAGACCTATATTCCTCTCGGAACCCAAGGGAATAATAATAATACCCTATAGCGGTTCTCGTATATCTTCGTCCATTGTAGTGAATTTCGGATTTGTGATAAATTGAACTGAAGCACTTTTGTGCAAAGTTCTACGGTGATAAGGCAGTTACTATTTATCCACTGAATATTTCGTATAAGGTATATTATGATGAGAATATTAACCACAAACAGTAAAACAATGGAATTCATCGTCAGCTTCTTATATAATGACTTCGTTAAATACTCCCCCTGATGATATTCTGGATAGTGACCAGGAGACATTCATTCAACATCACGTACCTATATAAGTGCCACAAGTAACCTCAGAAATCATCCGTGAGAATGCTCAAGTTTGCTTATTCGACTACAAGAGACTACATCTAACTATTATTATCATTACCAGAGTAGTTATTTATTTGATATGAAACTGCTTGTAATAACAATCGAACATGTAATAAATACATTTCCATTTGCTACACTGACGTTTTAAGTCATGTGTGTAGTGATCCCTTCTAATAATTTACTAATATCGCACAAAAAATCAGTTTAATTAATATCTTTGATAAGTTGTATTTAATTTATATTAAACAGAATTGCGTATAAAATTAAAAAAAAGGAAAATAAGTCAAGCGAATTGCACAGAAACAATCACAGAACTGATGATAGTAAGCAAATTCTGGGGGAAGTACATGAGAAAAGAAAAATTAAAATCATGAAGTGTAGCGCGTGTACACGAATGAAGCTTTAACGACAGGCTACTTGTGGCTGAAGCGTAGATAGACCGCTGATAAGCAGACGCATTCGTATTTTCTCTCTTTCAAGTAATTTGGATAAATGTCTGAAATAGTAAACAAAAAAATATTATCACTTATTAAACATTTTTTAAAATTTAACCTTTTTACTACAAATATCAGTTAAATAAAACAAACAATCTAAGATGAATTTTCAGCTGACTTAAAAAATAATTCGATGCTAGCTCAATACAGATATTCAAACGCATCCTCGAGACATGATAGCGTCATCAGCTGTTTGACTCTAACAATGTGACCTACAAACTGTGTGCTGATGATGGTTCAGTGGTAGGATGCTGGCCAACCAAACAGAAGGTCCGGGTTCAACTTCCCGCCAAACAGCAGATATTAAGACAGGAGCTAACAACCATACCCCGCAAAAAAACACCATCATTAATGGAGCTCACAAGCGTGAAGATCACGTTCCACTTGTGACGCAAGGATCGGAAGAAAACCCATAATTATTTCTAAAATAAAACTTTTGTAGATAGTAGTTAGCTTTATCTTAAACTGATTATTGAACATCTTGTTGACCAGTAGTAAGTTGAAGTAATATAGATTTTGACCACAATGACATCAAGAGTGTATTTGTTTTTTATTGTCCTAAAAAAGTTATTTTCTCCTGGTGATCATAGCAACTACAACCAATTCCCCTGGAGACCTATTGTATTTAACGACTATACCGTTTTAACCAGTTTAAATAACCACTAAGATGATGTTACAGTACTGGACTACACTGACTCCTAGTTTAGAAATAGGGAATGAAGTGGTAGAGCATGTTGACCACTTCACTTATTTGGGAAGTACCATCAGCCCCAACGGGTTGATCTCCGACGAAATCTCAGCATAGCGGATACAGAAGGCTTGTTTCTCATATGCCAGTTTACGCCGTCTCTGGCTTGGTAGACGTGATATCCGGCTATCGACCAAAGGGCGGGTGTACTGCTTAGCAGTCCACTCCGTCCTCTTTTATGGCTGTGAGACCTGGCCACTGAGAGTGGAAGACAAGAAAAGATTAGCTGTCTTTGATCATAGGTGTCTGCGTTCTATCTCCCGTATAAAGTGGTATAATAAGGTGAGCAATATTGAGGTTCGGCGTCGAGTGCTAGGTAAGGAGGGGAAATCAATAGACATGGCTGTGCAATTACATCGATTTAGATGGTTAGGATATGTGTTACGTTTGCCTAGTCGTCGCCTTCCTCGACAATGGGCAATGTTAGCTGACATACGGTCAGGCTGGAAAAGAGCCAGTGGCGATCGAACCAAAACATGGCTTCGTCAGTCAATGAAATCTACAACAGTTAGTTTAAGCCACGTAGGAAGGTGTGGACTTCCTGACTAGTAGGGGTCCTCGGGACAGTAAAAACCAATGATTGGAAACAGTTGGTGATATGGCTCAAAATCCTTCTCAATGGCTGGCGCAGATGCATCCACTCCTCGTGACTTATAATTTCCAATTAAACTATATTGTTCTCCGTTACTACTATTCCTTTGTCTCACCTCTGTTTACTGTCTATATTACGCATTTCTTCCACTTTCTTCTCTTGCTTTGTGTACTACATGGAGTGTGGCGACTTGAACTGCCGCACATATGTGCAAAGTTCTATGTCGAATACAGACAGACAAATAACCACTAAAAAGTTTAATCATCTGCTGTAATTGAAGAATTCTATTCATCTTATCCGACTGCAATATATAAATAAATAATAGGCAGAATACCTGAAGGAAAAAGTAATCCAAAGTGCATAGGATGACTACAATATCAATAACAGTATATCAAGTGGTGATCTAGTTCAAGTGTCAATGGGGAAAACCATTACATCATTCTCTACAAGCTAAAAAATTTTAGAAATCCAGCTTGACTAGAACAAAAAAACAAACACCAATATACAACACAGATGCATAATATTCCCCTTTGTTTTCAAAACCAAGACACCTCAGAAACATGGCTGGTTAGGATGTCAAAACCAGAATCAGAAAGGCTACATAAGTGTTGATTGCTCTGAAATCAGTCTGGAAATCTCCTGCACTCCACAGCATAAACAACAAAATTACGATTTTCAACATCAATGTTTAGTCAGTCAGTCACTGCTTCTATATACGTCAGAAACTTGCCGAGCGCGTCACTGAAACCACAGCCTATTTCAGAACTGTATCAACAGCTGCCTTCTCCGACTCCATAGTAAACATCAGAGATGGCCGGCCAAAAACAATTACCAACAGGAAACTATGGGAACAAACTAACCAAGATCCTATTACTCAGCATATATGCAGAAGGACAGGGAGATGGAAATGGTCACATGCTGACATGGCGCAGCAGCAGGCCATAGGTCGAGTGGAACCGGAATGGAAAACGACTGGTGTGGCAAGGGTTTGAGGATGACATCGTGGAGATTGTGTGAGGCTATGGGCGACCGTGGGGCAAGATGAAGAGGACTGTAGCGAAGACGGTGAAATGGAGATGTGCTATATTGCACTTGGAAACCAAGCTAAGAAAAATAATAGTAATGATAATAATAATCGTAAGCTATAACACGACAAAAATGACTGTGATCAGTCAAGTGTTGGATAAGCCCTAACGAAATTGTTTTCCAGCTGATTAAGTCTATATATATATATATATATATATACATATATATATATATATATATATATATGTATATAGTGCTAATATTACTGAACAACTTTTTTATATTTCAGTTGAAACCTGTCAAATAGTTTTCTTTTGTCTACTAACTAGTTCTTCTATTGAATCAAAATATGAATGGATTTTTCCTGTCTGGTATGCAATGTTCACGTCATTTTACGATTAGAGTAATACAGGTGGTGCGGAGAAAGCGAACAAAAACCGTTGTTCTTTAGCATTTTCACATTATTCAGTGATAAAGCCACAATGAAATGTGGTGTTTCTCTTCGCATTGGTATTTAACATCATGTAGATATCAACGCAAATATATGTGTATATATGCAACACATCAAATAATACTTGAAATGGTTTCTTATAATAAGAAAGGATACACATTCACTCATTCAGGTAAGGCGATAATAATCTTATTTCAACTTACTCTGATTCTTCTAAGGTTAAATGATCCAACGCTGGAGATATTTCAATACTGAAACGACTGCATATTTCCTTTAACAGTTCGTTTGATTCTTTTGTAAATAATTGATTTGGTATAATTGTCTTCATTGTATTCAAATCAAGTGTTAATTGTAATTGAGCTAATTTCGACCAGTCAGTTATATTTTTTTCACTAAATGAATAATAAACAGAGTATGAAAGTTATGAAAAGTTATGCGAATATTGAAGTTTCACGCACTAATTCTTTTTTATGAATATATATATATATATATATATATATCATTTTAAAAAAGACATTTTCAACGTGCCTGCGAAGGTAACAAATGATGTCAGTTAACAGGAGAGTCAAAAGTTAATAAAATATGCCCAGAAGTTAAATTTTAGAAATAATCTTTTACACAGTTTATTGATTTCAATATATCCACTTCACTACCCGCACCAACAAGATGTATGATGATAGCACTGTTGAAACTGCCTCTTACCATGCGACGTAGGCATTTCCCGATTGTCAGTAGAAAATGTAGAATCTTTTGAATACAGTTTCATTTATAAACGAATTACCTATCACCTGTAGATAATTTAATAATAATAATAATGATAGCTTTAATCTGACCAATGTTTAAGCAGAGTAACACTATCAAAGCCAAAACCACAGTGACCTTGAACAGCCAATCAGAACTCAGATGCAGAAGAGCCGCATAATCGTTGAAAAATACACTAAAAAAATATTGCAAACTTGATAATACACTGTGTAGTTGTAGCTTATGTGTTGAATGAATGTCTCCCAGTCAAAACACAAAGGATCTATAAAGAAATCGTACCATGCACGATATACTTATTCATCCAGGTGACTGTAGGTCATGGTACTTTGAGATCCATTGATATTTCTGCCACTATTCTCCAACCTACTCCTAACTCTATCCATAATCCTAATCCTAAGGTTAACTAACCCTAAACCTCATTCTTAAAAGCCATAACCCTACTACCTAACAGTATAGATTTGCAGAAAAAGTACCTAGTAAATACGTAGAGTACTGTATCTATGCTCTCAAAGTCCAAAAAGACAGGCATGATTGGATTTGGAATGATATTTTGCATAGTATTCGCTGTGTGTGATCAGTTCTTGAAGGACTTTGGCTATGATACTTCAATTTCGCCAATGTTTACATAATGTACAGAATTCTCAGCAAAGTTTATCGCATGATATTTCCTCATAGTCCAAGAACTTCTAATAAAAGATTAATTGACAGTATATATCGTGTGACACTGTTCTATATGACCTGAAGCGCAAATCAATCCATAATGATATCTCATCTTTGTCTCCTTTGAGAAATATATACACCGCATTTTGTTAAATGTTAAATTACAGGAAATTAAGAGTACATTTTGTGAACCAAGGACACAACTCAAGAACAGTTATCTTAGGTATTCTAAGATAATAATGCTTTTTTCGTGTTTAGTAGTACCTTGCGAATCAGCTGGTTGTACATGTTTTAAATACTCGCCAGAGTTAACAATAACTCATTAGAGGTCATACTCTAATAGATTTAAACAAACTGAATAAGAGAAATAATACGCAATATATAGTGATGGAGGTTTTCGGTAGCCCAAGTTGTAAGCAGGCCACGGCAAAACTTCAGTGTGACTAGTCTATCAAGATTGCAGAAGAACTGGTGGTTAAGCTAAAATACTGATTTTACTTTCTGATCGACACTATTACTTGATTTTTTTTTTGATTTTTGATTACAGCTTGATTCCACACAGTACTTTTTGGTAGAAGTATGGAATTTTCAGCATGTGATATCGGTAGCCCAAATTTTGCAGGCCAACCATTGATATTAGGTGTGCGTCGGCATTGGATCGAACCCCGGACCATGGGTATGATCGGCAAGAGTCATCATCATGTAGTTTGTTTACCTAACTGAAAAAAAAACTGCAAAGTGAAGTCACATTTGGACAAGTAAATGTAGCCTGAAAGAACGTTATCCAGCACAGAACCTTGCACAAGTTCAAATTGCAACACTCCAGGCAGCATACAAAAAAGAGGAAAACAGAAATCAAACAGAACTATAATGAGAACAAATATGCGGGAGGAAAGTGGGAAAAACAAGAGGGCTTAGTCGATTTGGGAAATTACAAAGAGTGAATACACCTGAGCCATCCAAAACGATTTTTGAGTTATATCACCATAAGTCTTCAGTCATTGTTTCTTAGCATCTCGAGGACCTTAACCAGGCAGTTAGTCTACACCTACCTAAGTGGCCTGCTGAAACCAACTGTCAAACACTTCATGGACTGATTTCAGGTGTTGGTTTGACCACCCTTAACTCCTTTCCAGATTAATCCTATGTCAGCTGACATCGATCGCCGTGAAAGGCTGTGGCTCGGAATATTTCCTAGCCATCTCAATCCAATGTAACTCCACAACCCCCCCCCCCAGGGATTCACCTAACACTCTACGCCTGACCTCAGTCTTTCTCACCATATTATACCGCTTAACACCAGAGACAGAACGCAAACATCTGTGGTCAGAGGCAGCTAGCCTTTTAGTATCCTTCGGCTTTTAATGTCCATGTCTATAGAGTCATAAAGATAAATGGACAGAGGGAACTGCAGTACACACGTCTTTTAATCGATAGCAAGAAAAAAATGTTACCAAGGTACAACTTTTGACAGTAAAGTTATGCAGCTGATATATTAGTAGAAAAAATTTACCTTGTGGCATATTTTTGCCAGCTTCTTTTTAAACTACATATGTCAGTTGTATTTTTGCACTATTAATTTCTGGACACAAGTGTATATCAACTCAACAACTACTGAATATGTCCAATGTTGTTTGGGCTTAGTGTTTTTGAACAAACACTGTGAACTGGCAAAGTGAAGAAGACTTAGGGTCTATCTGCTTACAAAAAACAACATGAATAAATTATGAAGGCAGTCGAAGAAATTGTAAAAGAATGTCAAAATACTATACAGGTCTTTCCGCAACTGAGTTGTAATCAGCGCGTCATCCCTTTTAGTTGAGAGCTCAGATAACTTGTGAATACAGTTCTAATGAATGAACCCATACTTGTCTGTCAGATTGCAATGTTTTGCTTTTGGAACTTTGTTTGTTTGTTTGTTTCAAATCTAGATAGCACAAACGCTTCTACAGATCATACCATACCGCTAAAGTGGTTTGGATGAATGTCCGATACACACTCGCCTACGTTACACACACACTATGAGATAGTAATTCGATAAAGTTAATTTGCCATTCAAAAGTATCAGTTGCATAAACAGTATCGCTTTTAAAACATGTTTTTCAGTCATATATATGCATAAAATCTAATAGTTGTTATATATCAAGTATTAGATGATGTAGAGGTTATATACAGACAATGAATGAGAACACTCATGAGTATAAATATGTCGTACAGTTTGTAAACACGTGCTATGAGACGTTAATCAAGACTGAACAAACTATTCAGTTAGAACACGTTGTTATCAGGAACGAGATTCAGGTAGTTCTTGGATGCATAATATATACAGATGCATGTCAGCAAACAGACAGGAGCGTTTTGATGAAATAAGTACTATAAAAAATTTTTCATTTTTTTTAAATGGACATCACTTGTAAACGATTGACAGAAAACAGTTTCAAGAGTGTGACGAGAGAAAAACATGTTTAGATTAAATTCTTCATCAGAAAAAAAATAATAATAATAAAATAATGTGCTTGAGATTAGACCTAAAACACGTCTACAAGCTTATCTCACAAGTTATCAGAGGGGGCTAAATTCACTGAACATTATAACAGGACAGTCACACATCCCAGTAGAAAGAGAATGATTGAAGGTTATGGAAAAAGTAAGACAAGGGTAATAATGAGGCTTTGGGTAAGTAGAGAAAAAAATAAGGAAACAGTTACCTGTGGCTGTATGCATTCTAAGTCATTCCCCTCCCCTTCTCCTTTCCATTAATAAATTTTATAGAAACATGGAGATTAAAGTAGACTACTCTCTCTATTCATGATGCATAGGTGATAAAATCTCTAATAATATAACAAGTGTAGAAAATATTACTTACATTAGACGACCGTGTAAATTCTTTATGAGATAATAGATGATTTGATGTAAAATTTCCTGAACATCAACTGAACAAGTTGGTTTATCATTATTACCAGGCAAAGAATTATTTCGGAAAGACTTAATCGATTTCAGTCCCATGAGTAAAATTAACTCAGAATAGATATGCGATAAATTTGCTAGGACTTCTTGTAAAGAATTTTGAAGGCCTAAAATTAAAAAAAACATAGAGAAAACCAAAAAGCAGAATATAAGATATAATATGTCTTTCAAAAATAAACAAAGAACTTTCTGTAGATTTGAATTACATCTATTGAATGTAATTCAATGTCACATTGATGAACAGTCATTACTGTATTATAGTGGAATACGACTTCATCTACAGATACGATATTCTACACCGATATCATTTTTATGGATGATGGCGTGAGGTGGAATTCAAGAGATGAACTTGCTTCTGCTTGGGATTCGGTCAGCTCCATGTACCTGCAACTCTAGGACATAGTGGTTAGTTACCATCAACTAGACGACATCAAGTTAACTGTTAGACACCATAGAAGCGTCCGTACTAGCAGCTGACATGCCAACACAAGAACCGAGTATTTCTGTGCAATCCACTGGAAATTCAAGTTAAATGATATTATTATTATTGTTCCCTTCGGTTCCTGGTGGAACAGAGGGCTTCAAATACACGTCTCCACTTGCTTCTGTCTTCAGCTGTACTTTTCACCTGCATCCATGTTAGTCCATGCTGTTTCATCTCCTCTTCACACTATCTCCTCCATGTCACCCTTGCACTGACGTCCCACTCGCCGCTTCCCTTTCGGCTTCCACTCAAGGGCCTGACGCGCGATGTCACCCAGCGGCCTCCTCAGCGAGTGTCCAATCCATCTCCACTTCCTCCTACATATTTGTTGGGCGATTGGTTCTTGTTTTGTTTGTTCCCATAGCTCCTTGTTGGTGATTCTTTCTGGCCATCTGATCTTGAGTATAGAACGAAGACACCTTTTGATAAAGGTCTGCAACAGGCTGTTGGAAATATTCTTTGTGACGCGCCAAGTTTCTGATCCGTATAGAAGAAGTGACTGACTTGACGTTTGTTTTGAAAATCCGAATTTTATTGTTGATGCTGAGTGACAGCGGAAGATTTCCAGATTGGTTTCAGGTTGATGAATGTGTTTCTCGCCTTCCCGATTCTCGATTTGACATCCTCGTCCGTTCCTCCTGTAGTTGAGACAATGCTCCCTAGATAAGTGAATGAAGTAAGTATCCTCTTTCAAATCCCTCCCGTTGATGGTGATTGGCGGTGGATGTTGCTGCTGCTGTTGTTGTTGTTGGTTGGTTGGTTATTTTCATAACCTCCGTCTTGTCTATGTTCACCTGGAGTCCTGTCTTTGCTGCCTCTTCGACCAGTTTGTCGGTTTTCGCTTGTAAGTCTTCGATTTTGTGTGACATCAAACATAAATCATCCACGCGCGAAATCCAGGTCTTCTAGGTTCTTTGCGTCGGTCCAGGATATCCCTGTCTTCTCGTTTCCCACTGTCTGACGACGCATAATCCAGTCCACCACAATTAGGAATATCATTGGTGATAATAAGCACCCTTGTCTGACTCCTGTGTTTACTCCAAACGCCTCTCTGAGTTTTCCGTTGTGGATCACTTGACATGTGCCGTTGTCGTACAGCTGTTGAATAAGGTTGATGAATATTTGGGGTACGCCGTAGTACTTGAGTAGTTTCCAAATTACTTCGCGGTCAACGCTCTCAACGGCCTTCTCAAAGTCTATAAAGTTGAGGTAGAGGTTTGATTGCCATTCCATGCTTTGTTAAACGTTAACTTTTCTGTGAAGATAATCTATTGATTTTTCTGTAGTCAAAACATCGAAGCAGGCAAAAGTGATGGTAAATTATGATACATTTTTTAGTCAAAATGAACATACCAGTTATTGCATTTATATCCTCGGTCCTCTTAGTAACCATTCTTTTCTGCGATGGTAAGTCATCAGGTAAATAAGATTCAAGAGGTAAGCATAGCCATTCACTTCGAAGTTTTACATATCTTGAGCATATATCTTTTCGGCCTTTTTCCCAGGCCTCATTCAGAGTGGTTTGCAATCGACCAACTGAAACGTAACCCAATGACTTGTACAGATTAAGTAGACGATAATTTGCATGACACGCAACCCATTCAATATTGTTTAATATAAGCAGTAATCCTCTGGCCTATAGATTCAAAAAAGGAGTAAAATAAGAGTGGAAATAAATTAACTAGTTTGTCCGTATGAAAAAGATCTACATTTAACTTTTTTTTTGACAGCGTAAATGCCAACACAAACACACCAGAGAGAGAATTTCACATCGCTTTAACACGGTAAATACATTGATTATGCACTTAAAAATAAGAGCCCAAAATCAGCCTACATAGATAGACAAAAATGTAAACTAAACAAATGGCACAATTGGTCTAGTGGGTAATGCTTTGGAGTTAGAAACGATAGGGTATTGGGTTAGAGGTTCAGTGGGAGGGAACGCCTTCACCCACTGGGTAATGCAGGGTAGATCCTGATTATGACTCCCAAACAGGGCGAAATGTGCGTTGTTTTGGATTCCACCGCTGGTCACCATCAACCAAATTACCTCAAGTTAATGCGCAGACGTCATCGATGTATCCGCACACAAGAAGCCGACATGTTAACAGAGGCTGAACATTCCGGTAAGATCAGTCAACGGGAAAATCAAAATTGAATTAAAAGTAAAAACAAATGGATTTATCCTCAAGATTTAGAAGTATCTTTAAAACAGTATGGAAATCACTTATTCATTTAATTCTGGTGAGCAACACTAAGTCACATTATTTATCAAACGTATTAATTACTAATCTAGGCTACAATAAGCGTAGTTTATCTTCCTATGCATTGTTTTCCGCGATGGGATTGCTTACCTTACTCACAACCTTTCCACTTCGGGTTAGTAAACTAGACGAGGTATAGGAGTACACCTGTCGAGAATCGAACCTGAAACCACGAGCGAAGTGGAAAAGCATCCTACCGCTGAAAACTCGAGGCATATCAAGAGTATACACAGTTCATATCATATATACATATATTTATATATAACTTTGAAGCTTTTGTTATCTTTCTAGACAATAGCTTCAGATACTTTTGGTTGATAGTGCCTATCAGTGGAATCCAGGGCGTGTGATTCGTCCTACTGGAGACTCGACAGCTGGATGTTACCATGTCACTTAATTTTAAACTTTGACATCATCAAAGCGTCCACACAAAGAGTTGATGTGTCAACAGAGACCAATCATTTCTGTCCAATAAAAATATTTTAACAGGAAACGAAAATTATCCCAAAAAACAAACAGCTTCAAATCTTAATTGACATTAAAAGCTTTTCACATAAACCAACAAGATCAGAAAACATCCACCTGAGCTACAAATCCTCTAAAAATTACTTCAGTTTCACATTACGCAACTTTGGATTTATTTTATCACATTTTGAACTAATTTGATATTTCAAATGTTGTTTGCATTATCAGACTGTATTCATTATTCTTATCACCACACCTGCATCAACAAGTTGTAATTTTGTTATCTATTGGTATTAGTAATATTATCGTTAATTTTATTACCATTGCAATTAACTGCATAATTTACGAATACTTGACATTTATTGTTAACTCACAAATCAACATCAATTATGGAAAGGATTTATACATACAGTTACAACTATAGTGGTAATAGAGTGAAGTGGTAGATACACTCAACCACTTCACTCTCTATCTTTTTCAGTGTCTTCACATGAGAGGACAATATCATCCACATCCTCAAAGTCCATAAGACTGTTCCACGATAAAAAGTTAATGTCTAAGTCACCAAAGTCAGTTAGGATCAGTTGCATTAGTACACCTATGATGAAATTAAATAGAAAATCGAGACAGTGAGCATCCATGACGGACACGAGTGATTGTCCACACTTCAGATGACAAGTCTTCGTAAGTATTCATATAAACTTGTAGAAGACGAAAGGCTTGGTAAAGGAATGTTTATTTGGGAATTTGTATCTCTATATAGCCAAATTATGTACACCTTATCTTCAACGCACCATTGGCACAGATCTTCTGTGTTATGCTAATTCTGGCCTCCATATTGTGTTTCTTTGTGCTCCTTTCACTTCTCCCACATATCTCCGCAACGCTGTATCATTTGCTTTCTCTGACATCAAATCTATCTCCCCGCTATTTGATGCTTTTTAAACCGATGAATGTCTCTTCCTATACCACTGATAACTCCTATCAGTAAGAAAAATGACAATTTGCATGATTTCATAAGCTAGGGTTTATTTAGTTTACAAGTGATCTTGATGGAAGCTTAAATAATCTATAGGTTACTATGATGATAATGAAAAATACATGAACGCCGATTGGTCTGTCTGTCTGTTTTCGACATAGAACTTTGCAAATATGTGCGGCAGTTCAAGTCGCCACACTCCCTGCATGTAGCACACAAAGCAAGAGAAGAAAGTAGAAGTGCAAAATAGAGACAGACAGGGATATGAGACAAAAGGAATAGTAATAACGAAGAACAAAACAGTTTCGTTGGAAATCATAAGTCACAAGGAGTGGATGCATCTGCACCATTGGTTTTTACCGTCCCGAAGACCCCAACCAGGATGTCTACACCTTCCTACGTGGCCTAGGCTAACTGTTGTAGATTTCATTGACTGGTGCCATGTTTTGGTTTGACCACCGCTAGCTCTTTTCCAGCCTGACCTTATATCAGCTAACATTGCCCGTCGAGGAAGGAGATGACTAGGCATACGTAACACATGTCCTAACGCCAACTGGACAATAAGAGTGAGTTAGAGTCAAACAAAGAAGTTAGTTTTCTAAAAGTGTGAGTATCTATGCAACTGTGAGACAGTTGTTTTTACTGAATTTAAATTAAATTTCCAGTCACATACAACAATACTGAATGTATTTGATAAAATAAATTGACAATACAGTGAAATATATAAATACCTGTGAGATAATGTTGTTTTGTCCAGAATGTCGAAAATTCGGTGAACGTGGATTTAACCAGTTTTGATGATATTCTGAGGATTCATCCTGTTCACGAGATCGTTTAACAGTATGCCTAATTTTTAATTCATTAAAAAAACAATGAAGTGAAAAAGAATATCATGTATAACAGAAAGTAGACAACAAAAATATTCAGCGTAAATTCTTAATGGAATTCTAATTCTAAACAGAACTGTTGTCTGTTATTAACACAGTTCCGGATGAAAATTCACCACAGTTTTCGCTGGACAGCCAAAATAATCAGATCAGAATATGTGACGTGCTTCACAACCATAAACAGCACTAGGCAAATGAAAGGGTGATGAATACTAGTCATTGATATGGACAGTAAAGAATTTTCATTTCAAACTGCATAATATGCAGATGATAAGTTCGACATTATATATGTACTGCCACCTAGAATTCAAGTAGTGTGAACTGACTCGGCTCTCTGAGCTGAATCAAACTGCGTACACCGTCAATGAGGTGGGCTCCTTATGAGGGAAACAGCTGTCAGATCAGACCTTTAGGCACTAATAGTTGATGTGAGTGGTTTCAAACAACGTGTATTTATCAGTACCATATGCGATATCATGAACAACATGAGGATTTACAGTAAGTATTTTTGGATATTTGAATGAGTGAAATAACTATCAAGTGAAAACTTATAGGTTAGTAGTCAGTAAGTTCTATCAGGTAAGATTCATTATGACTTATAAAAGTGATAACATGAATAAAAAATATTGAAAAAGATCATCTTCTGAATGTAAACACATTAATGCAGACAACTTGGCGAGTTAACTGTTAGTAGTTATGCTTTCAAGAGACACTATTACTTGCAACAAATTACTATATTTTCATACCAAACACTGTAGAATTGTAAGCAACTCTCGCATGGCATATACATGAAACGGTGACGTCCTTAACTGCGAAATCCAATTTATATGTTAACAAGCCCGCTGATGACCGTTGAGATTACGAGGCAAACATGTTAGTGTACCGAGCAGGAATTCAAAGACACAAACTAGAAAGAAACAGCTATCCAACATTCCCTAGTTCCAAGTAATTCACTAATGAGTGTTGATTCATGATGAGATCTATGTTGGAATCAGTTGAATCCACACAAAATTAACCATTCAGAAGTTGAATACGCTAAATACAAAACTACGATGTCGAGTAGATATTGACTATGCAGTATTACTTGTCCTGTTATAATCAGATGGAAGGATGCCTTTAGAATGTCTGCTGCTATACGTACAGTTTATCCACAGAATAGATAAGTCTGGGTGTAAGACTTGTTAATTAAGTACACTTCAGTTGGCAAATGGAACTTGTGTAACAAGCATACATGTAAAATTGGATTTTATGCTTCTAAACATCACAAAAAGTATGCGAAATAATCCAATGACAGTAAGTACTTTATCTTTCGTGATTTTTTTTTATATTTCAAAGACAACGAGACTGTCAATAAGTATAGTAGGAGTTGACAAACGGAGTGTTAATAAATAACAGTAGGCAGTAGCAGTAGAAATAATTCGAAACTATATACTACTACTGATATGGGTAAATATACCATAAGGCTTTTTCATGTACAACACTGGATATTTTATTGTCTCAGTGTATATATGCCGCTAGAAATGAAGACATTTTCGTGTTTGTATTGAACGCTAATAAAATTATAATTTTAAGTCAGATATTGGAAAATAAGCACACAAAAATTAGTCATACATTTACACTGATTATGTACCAAGTAATTCTTAGTACATGTTTTATAATGAACAGAAATTTTATAAGAAAAACAAACTGTACTCTAATTTTCACAAAGTAATTGTAACACAAAATAAAACTTAGTTAATATAATTGACATAAGAATAAAACTTGTGCAACCGTGGTAGAGTATAATTCCATTATGGGTAAAATTTATTTTGATAAAGTCACATACAGTGTTATACAGTAATATTTACTGATGACCACGTTTCGAGCACAATTTATTACTGCTCATAATCATATCAAGGTATTCACACAACTTTCTAACTTCGTTTCTATAATTCCATTATCTACCATCGCTTGATTTCATTAGCAGTAGTATTTTTCATATTTCCGGTATGAGTGATGAGTCATTCCTATTCCACGTGTTGTCTTGGGTGTAGACTCGATGAACAAGGATTCAGTAATCAACCTATCTCGCTCTCCACCTACCTAGATTACTTCTTAGAGTTTTAACCCTCTCCCACCATGCTACTATGTGGTTGTGTGTTAATGCATGCAGTGCGATTGGTGAGCTTTTTTCTAAATTACTTATCTTCTCTGGGTCAACCATTCTCACCTTAGCTAAATTCTTATGTTCCGATAATCTGATTACCCCGCCTGATATACTAGTTTGACCTATGTAGGTAACCTGACTCACAGTCATTGCAGGGTATTTTGTAGATTATATTATTTTGTCTAATTGGGTCGACCGACAGGGTCCTTCAACCTACAGAGCTTGTCCCTGAGTGAGTTTGTAGGTTTAAATGCCACTCTAATTCCTGCTTTATTAAGAATCCCACGTAGGGTCTCAGATGTCCCCTCCTTATACGGTATAACAGTAGATGCCTTATATTCACTCTTATGAATGTCATCATTACTAGTTTCACAATTATTTTTAATTTGTTTTTTGCCTTTTCCGATCTTCCTAATGAATTTTCTTCTATCCATTTTATTTCATCATTTAGGTCTTTTTTGTACTACTTAGTGCTACTGCTCGGTTTGCTACACACTTAATTTAACTAAGCCTGCCTTAACAGTTAAAGAATGAGATGAATTAAAGTCTAAATATCTATTAGAATGAGTTGGTTTTCTATAAACACTAGTGCGTAGTTTGCCTTCTTCTATTCGTTTTATTTTACAATCTAACATAGCTAATTCTCCTTGTTCATTTTCCGATTGAAATGTGAATTTTATTCCCTCTACCAGTGAGTTAATGTGTGTCAAGAAGCTAGAGATATGTTCTGTTTTTAACACTGTGAAAGTGTTATCCACATATCTCCACCATATTTTTGGAGTAGGATTAAATGTATTAAGAGCACTATTTTTCCAGTTGTCCATAAATATGTCTGCTACGATAGGAGATATTGGTGATCCCACTGCTACACCTTCTATTTGTCTATATATTTTACCTTGGAATTTAAAGATAATAGATGTGAGGCATAACTGAATTCCTAAAATAATTTCTTCAGTGGGTAGCTTCGTCCTATTAGTGAGTTCAGGATCTGCTTCTAATGCCATATTGATTGATATATTAGTATAAAGACAAGTTATATCAAAAACTAACCATTATTTCATCACCTTGATATGAATATGAGCAATAAATTGTGCTCGAAATGTCATCAGTAAATATTACTGTATAACACTGTGAGACTATCAAAATAAAGTTTGCCCATAATGGAAAACTTAGTTAACATGTTTGAGAACTGGATGGACTAGTAATATGTAATTAACGTAGTTATATTTCACATATGGCAGGGACATAATCCACTTTGGAATAATGTAGTAAATAAAACAGGTATAAGATGAGAGAAAAACAATTTCACACGCCAAAAGAATGCTTTTCAATATCACTAGTTGACTGACTAAGTTTCAATATAGGACTTTGTATACAAGTGCACAAGTTCAACTTCCCACATTTCATTCAACACACACAAGGTAGACATAAGAGAGAAACAGGAGATAAAGTGAACACAACTATAATGAGAACAAATGTATGAGAGAAAGAATTTTCTTATTATTCCTTTACGTTTCCAGTGGAACATAGAGCTTCAAGATAGAGGCTTGAAGTTTCGGCAGCAATTATGTTTAGCCTCATACCCAACCTTCCCTCTTTACCGATCCCATTACCGGCTTAGCAAGGTAAAGCAGTACATTGGTCGGGAATTGAACCCAGAACCACATGAGTGGTTACCAGTAACGTGAATTATAACATGATGGTCTAGTGGATATGAGAGATTACAAAGGGTGTTATCCAGAACAATTTTTAAGCTATATCACCAATAGTCTTCATCGATTGGTTCTTCGCATCCTCAGGACGCCAACTGAACAGTCTACACTTACCTCCTTGGCTAGCTCGAACAGACAGTAAAATACTCCAACAACTGATCCTAGATTTTGGTTTGGCCAACCTTAACTCTTTTCCAACCGAATCCTATGTCAGCTGACATCGCTCGCCGTGAAAGGCAGTGGCTCAGAATACACAACACATTTCCTAGCCATCTCAATCAATGTCACTCCATAACTTCATTGATTGAATCACCCCTCTATTCCAAACCTCAATAATACTCATCATATTATACAACTTCACAAAGTACTTCGTAATTACAACAGCGAACGAAACATATAAGCAATATACAATCATGAGTGAGGTAACAAATGGAATTTTCAATTTTAACGCCCCCTTCAGACTTTCTGATCTACTGTCAACAACACAATAACAGGGGAAATATGAAGTAATTGGACTAGGTAGATAAAACAATTTTTGAATCGAGTAACGAATTGGTAAACCCAGTCAGTGGTCTGTCTGAGGCGACCGTGATGAGGTTACTCCAGTAATCAACTCTTCATAAGCAACAACAACCGTTATATGAGTGTGAACAGTGGCTTGATTGGCATAACAAACAATATCCACAATCGCTTGGTAGCCAGATATTCCCAAAAGCTTTCTCCCCCCTCCCCGCCCCCAATTGGCAAAGTCAAATACCACCCTCAGATCAAGATATATGGTAAATGTTAGACGCCTGTTTAAGTCAAGCTGATCCCATCCCACCCGGTGAAATGAAAATACTACCGAATAGGAGATAATTAATGCAAAGTACATAAACAATCGAAAGTTTCATTGAACAGAGGTGAACCAAAAAAAATAAACACTCTTAAGATAAATACCTCAATCGGAATAATAATAATAATAACAGAAGTAATAACTGGTAACGACCACATAAGAGATTTGCGCAATACATTGCCAATTCTCATGCTTGTCAAAAGCAAGGCTGAAAATATTTGTGTGAACAATAAAACAGTATCTGTGATGGGAACAGTAGAGCACAG